ATAGTGTTAGAGGACACCAAGCCATCTTGAAAACAGTAAGATGACAAATGCCAAGGTGGCAGAACAGGTAAAACATCCAAGGAGCCTGAATCTTGTATGATGATCCTGAGCTGCCACACCAAGTCTGAAGCCAACCAACCACAAATTTCTTATTAAGTAACATCACAATTGCCTAATTTTAAGAAACACATTCTTTTTCACATTCTGAAATCAAGTCATTTCTCACATATGATTTGCATAGCATCATAGTTGAATGGCATTTTTTTCTTATACAAAGAAAGGTGTGCAAAAGAGTGGCACATTTCACAATCAATGGCATCTTAGGGTTAATGAAATATTGTAAGAAATCTTATGGTTTAAACCACATTTAGTCTGATTTGTTGAAAGTTGTGGCTGAAAGAATTTCTAACTAATAAAAATATCTACCACAGACAGTGGTTATAAAGAATGGATTTTTTTCAAAAGAATGAATGAATAAAATAATCTGAGTAAAGTACTTGGTGTCAATTATTTTAAAGAGACAAAATTTTGTCAGCGGTTCAAAATCTTTATATATCCATTCTTTTTTTCCCTATCATGTCCAAATGTAAACACACACACACGTGCTCCTATTCAAGAGAGAGCTATGTCCAGAAAATAAGGCCAGGTAACACTGAGTTACAAGTTTGGGCCACAGGGGACTTGAAACAGGTGGGGCAATCTTGTATCATTTGAAATTTTTTATTGCAAATGGCAGATACCTCCTCAAGTTGGATTTAAGTACAAACGGAAATTCATTGGCTCACCTTGGCGAAAACCCAGGCAGTATTCTGGCTTCACAATTGGTCTGATTCAGAATCTAGTCTCTCTCTCCCTCTCATTCTCTGAGTACACCTTCTCAGCTGGTTCTGCCCTCAGACATGCTCTTTTCTCATCATCTAAGATTCTTTTGTTAGACTCAAGTCCCTCAGGACTTGCCTCTGTCCTAAGAAAATTGGCTTCACATCTCATTGTCTCTGTGTGAGCTGCAGAGGAATAGAAACCAGCTAGAAGCAGAGGGTGGAGTCAACCACACCCAAGAGGAGGCAGAAGGGGTTTCCCAGAACACATGTGGGGCACCACTGTAGCAGCAGAAGGATGAAGGTTGTCGTGTGATAACAACCCCAGATGTCCTCCCTGGGCCTTCTCTCTCTCTCTCCCCTAAGCCCACTACCCTCACCCAGATCTCAGCACTTTATCTCTCCCACAATAATGAAGGCTAGCCAAGAGCAGACCAAAGCCAGCCAGTAAAGAGAAGTGCCTAGGTCACCCACCTTGGGCTACAACTGTGAGGAGAGTAGACTGGGGACAGGGGTGTGGCCCTGCACAGCTCACCACTCTGGTCTTACCAAAAAAAATTTTAAAGAGAGTGACAATGTTTCGCTCAGCACTCAGCTTTTGCTGCCTATAGAATCTCTGTGGCATTATCCACAGTGTTTATTTTTCACCCCCATGTCTGTGGGTTGGCATGGGCATAGATTGGATCCATCAATCACAGGTTCCTGCTTGGGTTTGGACCTGCTCCACAGATAAGCCCATTAGCCTGGAACCAACACTCCCTGGTGCTCTTCTCACCACCTTGGCCAGCACAATAGAGCAAGGTTAGCCACACGGTGCATTTCCAGCCTCTTCTCACATCATCTCTACTTATGTTCGTTTGACCCAAGCAAGTCACATGGCCAAGATCAAAGCCAAATTACGGGGAAGTTCATTTCCCACCATTTTGCAAGGGTGTGGAAGTACAATACCAGTGCCAGGGAAAGAGGACTTGGGACAAATAATTTAATCTGCCACAAAAGGTAACCAAAGAACAACCTTCCCCACAGGATCAGCTCTTTTAACTGATTCATTTGTTATAGTGAAAGCTTAGCACAGAGCTTAATTAAAGCCAATGCCAAAAAAATGGCATTGGCTGGGCGAGTGGCTCAAACCTGTAATCCCAGCACTTTGGGAGGCCAAGGTGGGAGGACTACCTGAGCCCATGGGTTCGAGACCAGCCTGAGCAATTTGGCGAGACCTCATCTCTACAATAAATCAAAAAATTAGTTGGGCATGGTAGCGCACGCCTGTAGTTCCAGCTACTTGGAAAGCTGAGGCAGAATGATCTCCGGAGCCCAGCAGGTCGAGGCTATGGTGCCCATGAGCATGCCACTGCACTCCAGCCTGGGCAACAGAGTGAGACTCCAACTCTAAATAAATAAATAAATAAAATGGTATTGGTTGAGATCTCAGGATCTATCTGAGAGAATGCAGAAGAATATAAGCAAGCCCTGAGTTCCCAAAGGCGGGCACACCTGGAGTGGAATCAGTATTCAACCAAGACTGCTTACCTTCTATCCACTACCCTCACACTCCCAATTCAGTCATCAGAAAGGCCAACCCAAGGAAGAATCCAATCTGTAAACTTGAGTTACAGTGAAGTGTTCCCATCTCCCACAGCAAGGGCCAGCCACAGACAACCCCCTGCCCTCTGAGAGAGTGGTGTGGTCAGTCTCCTCCCTCCTCTCTCACTGCCCACAGCAGGCTTCTGAGGTCAGAAGGAAAGGAGGTATGGAAAGTTCTTCTTGATGGTCTCATTAGATGGCTGTATCTCCCTGGATCTGGAAAAGGTTAAAGGCTCAAGTGGATACTTTGGAAGGGACTCTTCATTTCCCCTGCTTCACCCCCCACTCCAGAGCTAGAATTCCCTTGACCTGAGTAAATGAATCAGAAGCTCCTTGCTTCCTGCTAGACTCCTAGAAAGTCACCTCCTACTTCCTTCCATTGTGCTCCTATCAGCCCTCTAGGAAGGCCTTGTGGTTAGGATCGGAGATGATCACACGCCAGGTCTTTCATTCATGTGGCCCACATGTGGTCATGGAACATGTACACACACTACACATCTTGAAAAGTCCACAGACACGGGCCAGTGGCAATGTCCCATCAAACTGAGGCCCACAATCTCACCACAAGTGGCACATGTGGTCCCCGAGATTCACAAGCCTTTGGACTGCATTAGGGGGGCATGGTTACTTCTCAACACAGCAGCAGAGTGCTCTCTCCCTCTCAAGTCAGAAGCCATAATTGCCTGTGTGCATCCAGCCCATTTGTCTCCCAAATTCCAGGGGACAGAAAGCAGCTCTCAGAGGAACCCTGGTGAAGCCCATACTCTCTGTGAAAGAGGGAAGGCTCCATCTGTCCACCTCATGGGGGTCCACATCACAAGCCCAGCCTTTGCCAAAGGAATCTGACAAAGTCCCTCCTTCTTCCACTCCCTCAGGCTTTTCTATCTCCCTAGAAGCCAATTTGCCAGCTAGTTCTCACTCACCTTTGGAAATCGACATCTTAGTCTGTCACCACTCTGGAGTTTGGTGGCTCACTCAGCCAACATGTCAGTTCAACATCTTGAGATATCAAAAAACAAAGCCTTCCCCACAGCCCCATAGAAGCTGCCCTCTCATGTCTCATTGGCCAAATCACTGCCAGGTGTCCCCTAAAATGTAAAGTGGGCTGGTTGAATCAGAATCTAACAAAAAGGGATGGGAGTGAGGACTGTGATGGCTCAGACCATCAGGATGTATCCCTGGGGGCTGAGCACATTGCTGCCCCTGAAGAAATGTGGGTCAGCTGTCAGCACCTGAGAGGCTGGCAGAGGGGCAAACAGGGGACATATAGGGCTGAGGAGTAAATTAATTGTTGTTTGCCACAAAGGACCCTGGCACATAAGACCCTAACTCTAAGGAGGTCAATAAATCCTGGGATATCCTTTCTGGTGAGATGAGTCTCTTGGAAAAAGAAAAAGAAAAAAAAAAATCCCGGGACAGCTACATGACCTGAGGCGATGATTCAAGGACAAGTCTTGCCTGAGTTCCTGACTTCTGCTTGTGTGCTGAGGGTCAGCCTTGGAGGTCAAGAGAGTGGAGCTGGAACAGCTGATGCCTAAGCCAGCTCATCCCCTACCTGGTGAAGTGGCCTTGGCCAGCTCACTCCTGTCAGCCACCCTCACCCTCTACCTTTCCAGGCAGTTGGCTGTGTCACAGCAGGGTACAAGGGCTCCAACAGCAGCACTCTGCATCTCCTCTTCACTTCTGCCCTGTGACCCTGTGCTGGCTCTGTTCTCACACATGCCACTTCTCCACATGGGAGTTCCCCACTGCTCCAGACTTAGCTGCTTCTGACCAACAATTCCCACCAAAAGGGGAGTGTCCCTTCCCTAGTGGATCCCACAAAAATGCCAGGGTTGATCCTGATTAGCCTGTGGGGGGATGGGTCCATCCCTGAACCTGTCACAGTGTCCAGACCTGGTCATGTGCAAAGTCCCAAAACATGGGTAAAGAGATGAATGCCAGGTTCTATGTGGACAGGGAATGAGCCAAAAGTAGTTTCCAGAAAAGAAAAGGTGAGATTCTGGTGCCAATAGAGAGGAAAAGGCTGCCAGGCAGGGAAGCAGAAGAGCAGAAACCACTCCCAGGAGGCAGGAGTGAACCACAGGCCCTGTGCCCCATCCCAGCACTCTGGGTGGTTGTCTATAGGATGGTACACATTTGGAGCCAACATGATTTAGTGGAGGACAAGGGGAGCTTCTGATCCAACAAGGAAAGAAGCTCCTCGAAAGAAGGGGCTGTAGGAAATTAAGCCCGAGCCCAACCTAGCAGAATCAGAGAAAAGACAGGATGCTGGTGGGGAAAACCTCCCCACCTCACAGAGAGGGACCTGGAATGACCAGGGTAGAATTTACATAAATGTGAGAAACACCGTTTTCAACATGTTTCTCAGGGTGGCCTTTATCCGGATATGGCCTCTCTGTTCCTAATTGATGAGTAATGACACTTCCTTAGACAGGGGCTGATTCTTAAGGTTAATTGAAAGTGGCCTTTCTCATGAATCACCGCTGCTCTGAATTATTAATCACCTGCAGGCATTTGCAGGCCTTTAAACTCTTGGACTTCCTGCAACCTCCTTGGAAATGCTTTTTCTAATGGAAATATGACTTCCTTTTGGCCATGGACAAGAGAAACCATGTCTGCTGCTGTTTCCAGGCTTTCCAGCTCCAGAGACCCAGTAAGAAGCAAGGTCTGAAAACAGGAAGCAGAACCAGGGCTGCAGCCAGACCCAGGAGGCCTTTCTGTTCTGCGGAGTTGGCTTTAGGCCAGCTGGGTCTCAGAGCCCTCATGGGACAGTGGGTGGAGGGAAAGCTGACCACAGTGCCTGCGGCTCTGCACCTGGTCCACAATCATCTGCATGGGAGCGGGTCTCCTGGGGCCTTGCATGGACCCTTCACTGGTCACAAGGTAAGAAGGCCTGAAGAGGCCAGGTGCTGGGCCTTGCTCCACCACTTACTGGGTGGACCACAAAGCCTCTTTGATTCGGTTTCTTCGTCTGAAGGGGTGTTCCCAATCCCGCAGGGCTGACATGAGGCAGAGCTCAATGAGATTGTGTACGTCAAGCCTGCATCATGACACCCAGAACATCAGGAACAGCAAGAAAGGTGAGTTCCCTCCTGCCACTGCTCTTGTGTTCCAGTGAAGGAGGAAAGATTCAAAATTCAGTGAGCAGGCTGGACGTGGAAGAAGCTTGCAGACAGAGCTGGCAACGTGAGCACAAGCCCCAGCAGCTGGTCTTCAGGACCAGGAGGAGATGTTCCTTTCAGCCCTGAAGCATGAGCCCTGGATGGGTGTGATGCACGGAGAACACTGGCAGAAGCCTGGGATGAGTCATCCCAAGGGCACAGCCCTTTCATCTGACACTCAGCACAGCCTTGGCCCCAGAGGTGAGTACCGGGGATGCATGCTGAATAAAGACATGGCTTCCTGCCTTCGTGGAGGTCCTCGTATGCCAGAAAGAGTGGATGGGGCAGCAGTCACAGGCACAGAGTCCCAAATTCAACATGGCAGCTGCAAGGATGGTGAGGTCAAGGAAAAGGTGATGAGGGAAGATGCTGGAGGTTCATGTTGAAGCATTAGCAGTGAGGAAGGAGGGGGGAGGGGCACTGAGTATTTCAAGTGGGGAGAGAGCATTGCGGGGAGATGAGAGCCTGGTGTCTGGGCAGAGCTCAGGAGTGCACTGGTCTGGGCACTGAGCACTGCAGAGGGATAGGGGGGTTCAGATGGGTAAGAATAGGAGGGAAACCTGGAAGAAATATACTGGGGAAGGGGTAGAGAATAGAATCTGAAGAGGAGAGGAGTTCAACACAGCACTCCAGGTGAGAGATGGGAAGGGGTGCTGGGTGAGGTTTTTGGTAGTGATGGAAATGAATAGAGATAAAAGAGCTGACAGGACTTGGTGACAGGGGAAGATGGGGACCCTAGAAGGACACAGCCTGGGTCTAGGGAAATGGCAGCTCCAGGTCTGGCACTTTCTGACTGGCCAGGAGGCATTGTGTTTTCAAAGAGCACTCATTACCCCAACCTACACCCAGAACAGCCTGAGTACTCCAAGCCCAACCATGGATTCAGCCAGTGTGGATGGGGATGCCATGCCCCATTGGAGGAGGGGTCAGGCCCGTGTGCAGAGCAGCTGAGGGGAGGGGACAGGACAGTCAAAAGGCTGCCATGCAAGGGTCGCCTGAGCCTAGCTAACTGCTAGAGCTGGGCTTGAAGCACACTAAGTGCTCCAGGCAGGAGTAGGGGTTGGGGGATGCTGCCTGGACACTGTGGACAGCATGATAATGACTCCAACGGCATCCATGTTCTAATCCCGGGATCCTGTAGTAGGGCACCTTACATAGCAAAACAGACTTTGCAGAGGTGATTCAGTTAATGATATTGAGATGTGGAGATTATCCTGGATTGTCTGGTGGGGACAAAAGTCCTTATAAGAGAAAGACAGGATGTGGGAATGACCCAGAGCAGGAGATATTAGAAAATGCTGTGTTCTTGGCCTTGAAGATGAAGGAAGGGGCCACTAGAAGACAACTTCTGGAAGCTAAAAAAAAGCAAGGAAATGGATTCTCCCCTGGCCCCCAGAAGGAACACAGCTTGCAGACCCATTTTTGACTCCCAGAATTGTAAGATAATAAATGTGTGATTTAAACCACTAAATCTAAGGTAATTTGTTGAAGCAACTTGAGCAACAGACACTTATACAGACATCTAACTCAGACCTGAGGAGAAAGACGGGAGATCGAGAGATGGGGCTAGAACCCATTTCTTGAGACACTACCCCCAGTGTCAACACAGAAGCAGAAGTCAGGGCCCCTGGAATCTGCAAACACTCCAGCCAACCTGACAGCCTCCAAGCCTACAGGCCAGGTTTTAAGGAGAATAGAGGCTGGAAGGGCAAATGTCCTGCCTCACCCAGACTGAGGTGGAGGGGAAAATCAGTCCAAGCTCCTCGGGAACAGTTGCTGGGTAAAGAGGTGGGGGGGGGTTCCCGCCTTCTTATGCCTCCACCCCACTTCCCTGTCCAGGCCCCACCTCAGCAAGGTGAGGGGAACACCAGTTCACCACCCATCCGGCTCAAGTGATCCAACGCGTGGCAAGGCACAGCCTCATGCACACTGACTGCCCACCCAACCTCCTATGACAGGCACAGGTGGGGAAGAAGAGCAGAGCCCAGGCTGTCTTTGGACACAACCTTCAAGGCTGTAAAACAACAAGACCAATTACCTGCTCGCGGATGTCCCCCCTTCCTCCCCCCTCCAAAACACACACACACACACACACACATTCCGTTTGGTCCCCACGTGCAGGTGCCTCAAGCTCTCAGATGCTCCCCACCTCGACAGGTGGCCCGAGCTCAGCGTTCTAATAATCATCATATGTATAGTGGCTTGGGATATGGCAGGACCTGGCAACCCCACCCTCGGTGAGATAATCACCATAATAGTGGCGAAACACGCTGTGCCACCTAAGTCTCCTTACATACACTGTAAGTCACCCTTGGGCCGGTCACCGTTGTAAGAGCCGCTACGTACATATTAGCCTTCGAGAGGGTGCTATTATGAACCCAACGAGGAAAGGGAGCCCAGAGTGGGGCGCCTGAGTAGGTGCCCAGGAGATCGGGCTCCCGAATCCCGCTGTCACCTCCGCGTTGTCTGCTGAGACAGCGAACCCGCAAACTTGAGCGCTGCACCGCTGACCGGTGTGGTCAGGCAGGAAGCCCCAGGGCCCGGGACAGGCGCGGAGACTGCGCCCCGAGATCCAGGAAGCCTCGCTCGAGCCGGGTGGAAGCCCAGCCTGGAGGAGGCGCTGCCTGCCTCAGCCCGCGGAGTCTCTGGGGAGGGCGGAGGCACGTTCCTGACCGAGGGCACCAGGGGTGAGGGGCCAGGTGCGGAGGCCTCTGTCGGACGCGGGCCGAGAAGGCTGTAGCTCCGCCCTGCGGGATGGGAACGCACCCCATCCCGTCCGAAACCGCAGGGAGCCCCGGGCGCCCCTGGAACCGGCGCCAGAGACCCGCCCTGGCTGGAGTCCT